GGAGTTCTCTGTGTGTATGATCTCCCCTTGGGTGCCCCTATGAAAACAGGGGGCCGGGCGTTGGTGGCGCACGCCTTTAATCCCAGCACTCGGGAGGTAGAGGCAGGCGGATCTCTGTGAGTTCGAGGCCAGCCTGGTCTACAGAGTGAGTTCCAGGACAGCCTCCAAAACAATACAGAGAAACCCTGCCTCGAAAAACGAGGAAAGAAAAGAAAAGAAAAGAGGGACAGGGTCCCAGGCATTCTGCGGTGCCCGGGGACAGGTGAGTTTTCTGTAAGATGCCCTCCTCTCACTCTGTAGATGGGGAAGCCGGCATTTACAGAGGCGATGCCCAGGCACTGAGCTCTTCAGGGGACGTCGGTGTGGCTGTCACCCTGTACCTGGGGACGTGTTCAGGGCTGAGCTGGCGGCTTGCTCGATTGAGTTGTGGGGCTGGTATGGGGCAGGGGCAGGGCCTAGGCAGACAGGCTCTGCTGTGCTTATAGCCCCTGCATTCTCCTGATCCCCCACATGCATCTAAGGTCATCTGTATTCTGTGTGTGGGGAAAGTGCTTAGCTCAGGGTAGGAACTTCCCCCGCCTCTTGGCCCGTCTCCTCGCCAGGCTTCAGACCAGAGCTCTGTCGGGTCCTGAGGATTTGACCTGGCCCCGACCGGATGCTGTTTGCTGTAAGCCACACCTACAGGGATACAGGATGAAGAATTTGGTGGGCAGGGAGAGAGGCCAGGGAAGACATCACTACAGACCCACAGCTAGACAGTGGCCTTGATCGCGGTTGCGTGGGGCCATGTGTGGCGACACCGGGGACGAGGAGGGCTGCCCTATGGGGAGCAGGGATAGCTGGTTGGGTCCCTGCGACCACACGAGGGGGAGACAAAGGAATTCTTTCTTGTCACTGTGTCCAGCGGGCCGCCCCTGAAGACCGCTCTCCAAGGGTCCTGGTTAGTGTGGTTCCCGTGGCCTGGGTGCTCGAGGTGGACAGCCTCATGGTGGATCTTGGGGCTTGCTCTCCTGTGGTTGTCCTGGTTGATGCCATCTGTGCCTCTGGAGGAGGGGCCTAGAACTTACAGTCCCAACTATGCCTGCCCTGCCTAGGGTTGCTGGCCCCTCCTTGTTCCTTGCTGTCAGAACTGGGGCGACCATCTTTCCATCTCTTCCAGACCTTCCCCTGGGTGGCAGGGAATGTTGATAGAGGAGCCATCAGAGAGCTGGGTCCGGCACTGGGCAGATTTGGAGGTTCACAGATCTCATCCTGGAAGAGCTCAGGGTACCCACTGGCTTTGGTGCCTTGTGTTCAGGGCGGTGCACTCGTGCCCCCTGGTGGTGATAAGAGGCCAGTGCAGGCTGTGGCTGCCTAGGATTTAGGGTCATTGGTATGACCTAAAAACAGTCACGACAGGCAGAGTGGGCTGAGGGTCTGTGCCCCGTCGGGCTTCATTCCTGCGTTTCCCACCTACACACCATCTTCCCAGGGAGAAATGGCAAGGCGCTCACACACACAGACATACAGAGACGGACACACACCACCTACACCACACTACACACACACACACACCACACCACACCACACATACATCCACATACCATCCACACACCACATCACACACCACACCACACACACCCACACACCACACATTACATCGCACACTACACACACCACAACCACACACACACACACACCCACACACACACCACACACCATATACGCATACCACACACCACACACACAATACTCACATGCACCACATACACACACACCACGTATATACACACAATACACACACCACACACACAACACATACACACAGCACACACACCACACACCCACACCACACACCCACATACACACACACCACATACATACACATACAACACACACACACCACACACACACATACACACACACCACACACACACCACACACACATACACACACACCACACACCACACACACACACACACACCACACACCACACACACACATACACACACACACACTCCCTCAGGCAATCTGTTACTGGATCTCACCAGGGTTTGGCCACCCAGGCCAGCCTAAGCCCTTTCTTCTGCAGACTGCATCACGATATTTGAAATATTTGAAATAATGGTGGAGAGATGTTTGGACACTGGAGGCGAGGCAGAGGTGTGGCTGGGAGGTCTGGGGTGGGGGGGTGACACGGCACGGACTTGGGTGGGTCCAGGGTGACACTGTCAGTCTGTGCAGGTGGCAGTTGTGGTGGGGAGGGGCTGATCATAGGTCTGTGAACCCTGTTAGGATTAGAGTGTAAAGCGCTTGTTTTGAGGTCTCCCTCCAGTTATGGGAGGCCAAGAGTCGGGGAGCAGACAGTCTGGGGAGGAGGAGGTAGAGTTATCCGGGAAGATGGCAGCTGGGGTTAGGCTTGTCTGTAGAGAAGTAGAACCCAGTGTGATTGATGGGGGCAGGGGAAGTAGGTTCCCATGAGTGATGGGGTCCTGGGTGAGGGGAGGCTTCTTGGAGGCTCTTGGAAACTTTCTTTTTTCTTTTTTTGTTTTCTTAAGACACGGTTTCTCTGTATTGTTTTGGAGGCTGTCCTGGCACTCGCTCTGTAGACCAGGCTGGCCTCGAACTCACAGAGATCCGCCTGCCTCTGCCTCCCGAGTGCTGGGATTAAAGGTATGCGCCACCAACACCCGGCTGGAAACTTTCTTGAACCAGGGAGAGGTGGGGAAGGAATAGGCTAGTTGGGGACATGAGAATGGGTAAATTGGGGAAGTACCCTGGAGAAGAAGACTCAAGCCTTCAGGGTGCTGGACACAGGGTGGGCAGGGCCACAGCCTTCCCTGCACAGAGGCAGTACAGCCCGAGCCTGCTCTGTCTCCAGGTTGCCTTTTGAAGAATGGACAGCCCTCACTTTCCCAACCATTCTCCATCTTAGTATTTCCCTCCTGCATTTTACTGTGTGGTGTGTGTGTGTGTGTGTGTGTGTGTGTGTGTGTGTGTGTATCTGTGTGTATGTGTATGTATGTCTATGTGTGTGTGTATCTGTGTGTATGTGTATGTATGTCTATATGTGTGTGTGTCTGTCTATGCGTATCTGAGTGTATGTGTCTATCTGTGTCTCTTTCTCGTATCTGTGTGTATGTGTATGTATGTCTATGTGTGTGTGTATCTGTGTGTATGTGTATGTATGTCTATGTGTGTGTGTGTCTGTGTGTCTTTGTGTGTGTGTGTCTGTCTATGCGTATCTGAGTGTATGTGTCTATCTGTGTCTCTCGTATCTGTGTGTATGTGTATGTATGTCTATGTGTGTGTGTATCTGTGTGTATGTGTATGTATGTCTATGTGTGTGTGTGTCTGTGTGTGTGTGTATCTGTGTGTATGTGTGTGTATGTCTATGTGTGTGTATCTGTGTGTATGTGTATGTATGTCTATGTGTGTGTGTCTGTGTGTCTTTGTGTGTGTGTGTGTCTGTCTATGCGTATCTGAGTGTATGTGTCTATCTGTGTCTCTCGTATCTGTGTGTATGTGTATGTATGTCTATGTGTGTGTGTATCTGTGTGTATGTGTATGTATGTCTATGTGTGTGTGTGTCTGTGTGTGTGTGTATCTGTGTGTATGTGTATGTATGTCTATGTGTGTGTGTATCTGTGTGTATGTGTATGTATGTCTATGTGTGTGTGTATCTGTGTGTGTGTCTGTGTGTCTATGTGTGTGTGTGTCTGTGTGTGTGTGTGTATCTGTGTGTATGTGTATGTATGTCTATATGTGTGTGTCTGTCTATGCGTATCTGAGTGTATGTGTCTATCTGTGTCTCTTTCTCGTATCTGTGTGTATGTGTATGTATGTCTATGTGTGTGTGTATCTGTGTGTATGTGTATGTATGTCTATGTGTGTGTGTGTCTGTGTGTCTTTGTGTGTGTGTGTCTGTCTATGCGTATCTGAGTGTATGTGTCTATCTGTGTCTCTTTCTCGTATCTGTGTGTATGTGTATGTATGTCTATGTGTGTGTGTATCTGTGTGTATGTGTATGTATGTCTATGTGTGTGTGTGTCTGTGTGTGTGTGTGTATCTGTGTGTATGTGTATGTATGTCTATGTGTGTGTGTATCTGTGTGTATGTGTATGTATGTCTATGTGTGTGTGTATCTGTGTGTATGTGTATGTATGTCTATGTGTGTGTGTCTGTGTGTCTTTGTGTGTGTGTGTGTCTGTCTATGCGTATCTGAGTGTATGTGTCTATCTGTGTCTCTTTCTCGTATCTGTGTGTATGTGTATGTATGTCTATGTGTGTGTGTATCTGTGTGTATGTGTATGTGTGTCTATGTGTGTGTGTGTCTGTGTGTGTGTATCTGTGTGTATGTGTGTGTATGTCTATGTGTGTGTGTATCTGTGTGTATGTGTATGTATGTCTATGTGTGTGTGTGTCTGTGTGTGTGTGTGTATCTGTGTGTATGTGTGTGTATGTCTATGTGTATGTGTATGTATGTCTGTGTGTGTGTGTGTCTGTCTATGCGTATCTGAGTGTATGTGTCTATCTGTGTCTCTTTCTCTGTGTGTGCCATGTGTCTGTTTCTGTGTGTCTTTGTGTGTATGTGTCAGTGTGTGTGTATTGTAAGTTGAGTTCCTGAAGGTTCAACCTTGACTTTGTAAATCTTCCTCTGTGAATATAGTGGAGACCTTATTCATTAAGTCAGGATCTCTTGGTGGAAACCGGAACTCACCAGTACGGCCTGTCTGTCTAGCCAGCTCACTCTAGGATAGCCCCCACCTCTGTCTTCAGAGTGCTGGAATCACAGATGGGCTGCTATGGGTGCTGGGGATTTGAACTCCCCTCCTCACATTTGCACAGCAGCACCTTACTCCCCGGCCTGAGTAATTCTAACACCTGAGCATTGACATCACCGCTCCTTGGCAGGGCGCCCTGCGGTGTGATGTTTGCAGAACCTAGGCCCAAACCAGATCCTGTGTGGACTGAAACCCAAGTCCAATCTCCCTGCCTGCCGCAAGAATTCTCCCAACAGGTGTTTGTTGGCCTTTACTGTGCTCCGGGCTGTACTTCAGTTCTGAGATGGTGGCCTGTTCCTGTACGCAGCAGGAAGGCAGATGGGACAGAGACACTCACAGAGACACATGGCCAGTCTAGGGCCAGTACTGGAGGTCAGGACTAGTCCACAGGCAGGGAGACTAAGAAAGGTGTGGTCATACCAGATGAGGGTGAGCAGAAGTCCTTCACAGGGTAGGCTTCCCCAGTAGGCATGGGTGGCCTCTCTGGAGAGGTTTTCAGCTAAGTCCTGGTCTCCTGGGCTAGCCGGTGCCCCTTTCTAGAGCAAGTGCACGGAGGAGCTGCAGATCTGGCCATCCGTGCTGGACGGGGCAAGTCGGATGCTGGCCAGAGAATCATGTGTGCCGCGTTCCCTTATAAACCGGGACAGTGTGAGCAGACGGCTGGCCAGCTCTGGCTAAGGCTGACACCCAAGGTGGGTTCCCAGCCAGGCCCAGCCCCATCCCTGGCAGGGCGCTGAGCTCTGCCGGAGAGAGCCGTAGGAAAGTGAAGAGATCCCCCAGATCCTCCGGTTCTCGGCCCAGAAACTGAGCAGGAGGCAAAGCTGGTCGTAGCCGGTCATCCAGACCATGGGGGGAAACATGGGTTGAGATCTTCCGAGACCCTGGGAGAACCAGCAGTCAGTGTCCCTGGCAGAATGACAAAGGGAGATTGGGACGGACAGTGAGGTAGAGACAGAGGCACGTGCAAGCAAAAGGCTCCCACATGCCTGTCCCCCAGTTTGCTGCTAGCTTAGTCCTGCTTGGCTCTGATCCCCCTGCTGCAGTCCTCCCTCCTGGCAGAGAAACGAGAGGTTCGGAGTCATGGCCGTGGCGGCGAGCGAAGACCTGGACATTTGGGGGATCTGAGGAATGTTCTTGGCGTCTTCTGAGCTTTTTACATTTTGTCTTGTTTTCTGGGAAACAAATGGAAAAGAAAAAAAAAAAACAACCAAAGCCCATTCCTACAGTTTTGGAGGCTGATGTGTATAAACTGTTTGAACCTGGCAGAGCTTAGAGAGAGAGGGACAGGAGGACTTGCTGCGGAGGCCTGTGTACCCCCCAAGTTTTGGCCATGGTTCTGCAGCCTCTTCAGCGGTCCGGGATAGCCCCAGACACTTAAGGAGAACTTTCCATCCCATGCATCTAACTCGGAATCTAGATGTACCATCCCGCAGCGCTGTGGAGCCCAGAGTCATCTCTGAGTGGGCATTGTGTCACCTACCTGTGGGCTGTCTGCACGAAGAGCCTCTTGCTGGTGCCGGGTGGCTTTTGGCTGTGGTGGCGGTTCCCCACTGCCTGGGTTCAAGTGCTGGGATTGCCGAGTCCTGGAGCTAGAGGCAGAAGGAAGCAGGAGTCTCCCTGTCCTGTCTGGGTGGCTCCACTTCCTGAGCAGCCTCAGTGATGGCCCGCCCTGTCACCCGTGTGTCTGACTTGTCATGATGTCTTTCCCTGTCATTCATCTTGGGCCTCAGCTGTCAGGCTCCGTCAGAGTGCAGCGTGGTCCTCCCTCCATTGTCCTCCATGTTCCTGGCTAGAGCCAGTGGTGGTCTCCACTGCACAGAACCTTACTGTGCCCATAAAGATTGTGTCTCCCGCTGGGCAAGGCCTCCCTTGTAGCAGCCTCTGCCTGGTCTAAGGGTGGAGCAGGAAGCCTGGGGCTTTGCCCTGCCTTCCAGAGATCCTGGAACTGTGGATGGGTGTGGGCCTGGGGGCACTGGGGCCCAGGGAGGGAGGACATCTGTGTGGGAGCCCCCCCCGTCTCAACCAGAGCTGCTATTGGCCAGCTGCTCCTGTAGCCACCTTAGCGGGAGGGCCTGTGACTTTCCTAAAGAGGTCGCCCAGTGACCTTGAATGTTCAGCCAGGTGAGGGAGGCCTTTTAGGCTGTTTCTTGACCACCATGTCTTGTCTTCAAGTTGCCCTGGAGACCATGGGTGTATGTAGGGGGGTGAGAGATTGTGTGTGTGTGTGTGTGTTGGCTCCCAGCCTTCCCTCCATCTCCAGCTTCCTGTTGGAGAATATCATGGAAAGCCCAGCTCATCAGCTGTGCATGGTTCTCTGAAGTGAACGGATCAGGGCTGGCGGCACACTTGTGCTTCCAACTTCTGGCATTCTGGAAGGGGAAGAAGTTAGAAAGCCAGAGCTTGGGTAAGTGATGACCTGAGTTCCATAGCCGGGTGCCGCATAGTGGAAGGAGAGACCGGAGTCCCACACGCCGTCCTCTGACTTCACGTGAGCACTGTGGCATGAGTGCTCACACCACATACATGACTTCCATGTGAGCACTGTGAGCGTGAATTCCCACACACATCCATGACTTTACATGAGCGCTGTGGCATGAATGCCCTTACATACATGACTTCCACGTGAGCACTCACATACATACATGACCTCACGTGATCACTGTGGCATGAGCTCTCACATGCCAACACGCACATGGAATAAATGAACAAGATGTGATATGAAAAGTCGGAACTCTAGGGACCAGGGAGAAAGGGGTAGGAGACAGGAGATATGGAGGGCAGTGGAAATACCTGTGCCACCTCAGAGGATCTGTGTCCCTGTACCTGCTCAAACCCCTGGAAGGTGCAGCATCCTGATACAGACCATGAACTCGGGGGTAGCAGTGGCATGGTTTCTTTCTACACAGTGCACCTCCAACATCATGTGAATGAGGAAGGAATCCAGCTGGAGAGAGGTGGCTCAGTGGTTAAGGGCACCGACTGCTCCCCCAGAGGACCCAGGTTCAATTCCCAGCACACATAGCAGCTTACAAACTGTAACTCCAATCCCAGGATATCCAACATCCTCATCTGGCTTCCATGGGCACCAGGCACAGTTGTGTTGTACAGACATGCATGCAACTCAACACCCGCACACATAACAATAATAAAAACAATTTTAAAGTCAGGAAAGAATTACGGGTGGCAAGGTAAGAGGACATAGGGGACTCTACATTTTGAAATATTCTATAAACCCCAAACTCTTCCAGAAACAAAAAGGAAAGGAAAGGAAGGAGGGAGGGAGGGAGGGAAGGAAGGAAGGAAGGAAGGACTAAAGCAGAGGATCTCGTTGGAAAATGTAGACAGTGGCCCCACCCATCACAACCGGCGCTCAGGGAAGGGACCCAGTCACTTGGTAGCAACACTTTTCTCATGCAAAAGGGATCTTTGTGATGCCTTTAGATAGCGCACTTTTGCCCGTTTCTGGGAGAGTGGGAAGCACGTACACACACACACACACACACACACACACACACACACACACACACACACACACACACACACACACACACACACACACAGCCGCTCTCCCTGTAGCTGGTGCCCTGTGGTTGGCGCACCTGCCTGAGCTGGTTTCTTCTGAACAACTTCTGCCCCGAGGATGCTCCTCCGGAAGAACTCCCCCCAGTAATGCTGTGCTCTTGGCCCTTCCCTTCGGCCATGCTGCCCATCCCATGATTCTTCTTGGCTTACCCCACCTTGCTCGCCGTGGGGCCAGCCCCCCCCCATGCTTCCCTGGGGGAGGGGTCATGGTACGGATGGCCTCTCACCCTGCTCCTCCTAGTCTGTGCTACCGTGGGCAGGGTCTGGTGGGAATCTGTCTGGAACGTTGTCTGGCTGCCCCAGGCTGCCAGGACTCCTGATCGGAACGGGAGGTAACCACCCAGTAAGGTATGCAGGTGGTGAAAGCCAGGCTTGCAACAACAGTGGCTCTGCTGGGCACCATTCCCGCCTCCCCCCACCCCTGCCACCCCCCCCATCTGAGGGCCAAGGGGCAAGCTCCAGCCCGGAGCAGTAGGCAGAGGCTGCTGAGTGCTGGCTTGTTTATTTCCATTTTTTAAAAGCTGATCCACGCCTAGTGACATCATCAGCTCCCGTGTTACCATTCAGACTAGCACAGACGGGAGATTATGAAGATTTTTTGCCTCATGGTTCTCTGGGGCAGATTCCCTCACTGAGTCCAAGAATCACCCTTCTCCTGGAGCTCTGGAAAGATCACAGCCTGGCCTTCTGTGCCTTCCCAGGGTCTCTTAGACGTCGGTTTGCGGCCCCTTTGTCCCCCGCTCAGACTCAGGGTGCCAATACCTGTCTCTGACCTCTACCTCTTCTCTCTCTCTCCTGCCCCTACTTATAGGACCCCTCAGGGTCACAGCGAACCTCCCACCCCCCACCCCGGGGGGGGGCAACTCCAGCAACTCAGCAACTCCACTTGTCCCAGCAGCTCAACCCCATCTTGCTGATGGAGCATCGTATGCTTACAGGCCCTAGGGGCGGGAGGCGTGCGTGCCCGGTGGGGTGGGGGGTGGGGTACAGTATTGCAGCAACTGAACTTTGGAAAGCAGAGCAGGAGAGCGATTGCAGCCCAGCACTTAAAACTCCTTGCCTGCCGGAGGCCATCATTTGTGTGCGGGTGACACACCCAAGCACTCCCTCGTGCAAGATGAAGGCTGGCGTGGCCAGAGTGGTCCTCAAGCCCTTGCCCGAGTGTCTCTTGCTGGACCCACAGGCCGTTCTGGGGCCCTAAGGGCTGCCCTTCCTGGGCTCTCGCTGTCAGAGCAGGCGAGAGGCTAGGGTGGGACAGCGCGGGGCGGAGGGGCTTCAGGCTGCTCTGCTTCGCAGGGACCTCCCCAACCCCACCCCTGTGTGAGCGCCGGCCCCTGGGGTGGGGTGGTGGGTGGGTGGGGAGGTAGCAGAACGCTGAGTCCCACCCTGTGGATTCTCAGATGTAGCGGTTACTGTCTGTGCTTCATGAAACCAGAGCGAGACTTCCTGCCTCCAGGCGAGTTCAGGGGTCTCTTTGGGTCAAGGTTATGGGCCTTACCCAGGTCTCTTGGTTGGATGGGATGGGGCCACGCTGACCCCTCCCCTGCCAGAATTGGAAAAGCAGAGCTTGGACTCTTTAGCCCTGTAGATGCAACTCACATCTGTGTCTAGGTCACCCAGTGACAGGTTGGGTCTGGCCTGCCTTGGAGAGAGAGGGGCCACTGCTGGCTAAGGCTTTGGTCTCGTTCTAGGGTTGTAGAGCTATAGTGGTGCCAACTGCAGACCTGGAGTGGATGGGCCAAACTCTTTGCCCGGGACGGCAGCCGGGGGGGGGGGGGGGGGTAAGGGACAGTTTTTGAGCCGGGTGTCCTGTGAGCAATGTGTGTACACACTTGTGACAACTGTCTTCTTGACAGAGGCACAGGGAGGTTCATCCTGCCCCCGGTCAAGCCATTCTGCAGACAACTCCCCTGAGAGTCACGCAGCATAGCCTTGGCTGTGACCCCCCCCTACCCCCAGGGAGAGCTGTGGTGTAGGCCACTGTGTCGGGGCCCATGTAATGTTTTGCTACGATAAGCCGTGGTCTTCAGTATTAACTGGAAGCCTCTCTGATATGACCAGATGTCTCTGTCTCATCTTTTAACACCGTTGGAGAGGTAGCCTACCCTGCATCCATACACCTCCACTCAGGGTCGGACCTGGGGCTGCCCGGCTGGTTCCGATCGCAGCCCCAAAGATACCAGTCCATGATAAATGGCCCCCTACAACGTGGGTCTAATACAGACCGGACGCAGCAGCACCACGGCAGGTGTCTGACCCGAGAGCCAGTGTCCTGAGAAGAAGGTTCTAGTCTGCCCTGTGGAGGTCGCAACATCTTTCCTCAGGGACTCAGCTCCTGGGGCCTCCCAGAGTTCCCAGCTTCTCCTATAACCAGTATGAAGACCATAGTCTTGGTTCTGACCGTTTTGGGCCTGGGTTAGGTAGGACCCTGGGACTGTGGCGGCTCCTGAATTTGTTCTGCGTAGATTTCCTCCAGTGGTCCGTCTAGGTCTTCTCGATGTGTGTTCCTTGCATCTAAGGTGAGAGAAGAAAGACCCACAGAGGTTCACCGTAGTCCTCCTGCAGCCTGCAGGTCAAGCCAGCTCAGAACTCTTGCCCACGGGACCCCTGCCCAGCTTCCGAGCCTCTCCGCCAAAGCACCATCAGGTGTGACGTGCCCAGGGTTCAGGAGCACACCTGGGCCGGCATGTGTGGGTGTTTGGGTGTCCAGGACTGTGAGCCCTGCCCAGCTCTGACCTTCATGTGGGTACAGGCAAAGTTGGCCTTGGCTCCAGGGAACCCCAGTGGCTGCTTCCTACAGATCCTGGGAGCAGATTGGGGACATTCTGAGTGGTGTCTTGGTGGCTACCCAAATGGGTGGGTGATCCCTTTTGAATGTCCCATTTCTGTGCCTTGGCTATAGTTCTGAGAAGTGGGCCTCCTGCTTTAAGGGAAGTAAGCAGGAAAGGCCCAGCATGGCTTGGGGTTCTGCCTGTCCTATCTGTACTCCGAGGAAGCATGAGCAAGCCAAGGGGTGTGGGCCAGCATCCCCCCCCCCAGCCAGCGAACTGGCAACTAGTACCCCTAGCTGATCTCAGAGCCCCTGGCTTTAGGACAGAGGTTTGGAAGATGCGATCAATTTTACAACCTTTTTTTTTTTTGAGACAGGGTTTCTCTGTGTAGCTTTTGTAAACCAGGCTGGTCTCCAACTCACAGAGATCCACCAGCCTCTGCCTCCCGAGTGCTGGGATTAAAGGCGTGTGCCACCAACGCCCAGCTAGAGGGAGAGGTTGGCCATGATT